TACAATAAAGGAAGTATTCTACTATCAAATGCAGGTATTTCTTCGGCTCAGAGTCAGAAATTTCAAACTTGTAATGTTGTTTTTATWCGAATCCAGATTAGCGCGAGCAGGGAAGGTTATTTAGGATTTAACCCATGGAATTTGCGATGATAATTAACTTGATGTTTTTGGAATTATTGAGGACAAACGATTAGGAGGTTTAAACGTTAATTTGGGCCGATTTTTGTARCTTTTCATTGAAGTCCTCTTGCTCTTTTTAAATAGAATGTGGAGAAACATTTTTTCACCTTAGCCAAATAATTTTTATTAAAACTTTTAGATGAGTTTAATTGAATACGACTCCAAAACAAAAAAATTACTCGTGACAAATCATTTGTTTCTCTTATTACTTGTTCAGTACAAAACTTCATTTTTATTATTTTGGGATTGTAAGAAGCAATTACCGTGCACTTTCAATTGTTTTATTCAATATTATAAAGTCAGTCAGTTTGAAAGGCAGTGACTGTTCAAAACCTGAAGCAATTTTAATTGCTAAAAATGTTAAAACATCATCTGAACCCAGACATGTATACTTAAACTAGAAAAAAAGAGATTTACCAAGAACTCGAAAATGCTTTCAGGAAAGCCACTTTATTGTTCAAACACTAAACGAGTTTGAAACGTTCACTATTATGAAAAAAGACAACTACACGTTCTCCTTATACACAATATTGCCCAAATGTATCTTTTGTTGTGTCAATAAACATTTTATATTATTATATATCAAGTGTCAAAGTTCACTTTTCCTAGTATCTTATTGGTCGAGAGTGTACCACGTGAAAGTCACAAAATTTTACTGTTTCCCGGCAACTGTCCACCAGCGGTCAATAATATGTTGTGGACCGTCAATAAGTACAAAGTCGCAGAAAAACAATTTCAGTGTCGTGAAAATGTCAGATTTACGGACGTTACAATTCCAAAATTGTTATGAAACATTTAATTTCGACTACAAATAGTTAAATTAGTATTCATTGTGTTATTACATTGATTGATTTTAGTGACTATTTGTATTGCCATTTTCAGTTATTTTATCAAAATCTTTAATAAAAACAATTCATTTATTTACTTTTTTTTGCTCTCTTTGACACTTGATATGATAATAAAGCACTTATTTACTGGAAACCTCGGGAAACAGCATGTTTTGCGGTCCCTCGACCGCTGATGTTTCCCTCAGCTTCGCTTCGGGAAACATCAGCGGTCTCGGGACCACAAAACATGCTGTTTCCCTCGGTTCCAGTAAATAAGTGTTAAATATTGACTTAAAAGAGAGTGAGATAATATAGACCATGTAAAAATAAATACTTTTGTGAAAGACTTAAGTACACGAAGGCATAGTTAAAATATTAACTTATCGACGAAACTAGGAATTCAAAGTTCATATCACAGGGATTTTAAAGTAAGTTTTACGACGTACAATTGCGTGAATTATCCGCTTTGTTCGGCCATTTCTCGTAGAAATTACACTTACGGTTCGTCATGTTTTTAAAAGTTACCCGTGCTTAAACTCTCGTTTGAGCTCGTGGCTTCATGACTTCAGTTTTGAACATTTTATGACGTCAAGATTGTGTCAAATGAGAGGACATAAACTCAAAACCGTGCATACTTTGTTAAATTAGTATCGAAACATTCTATCAGCCTCTGGAACGATCAGTTATTTCTAGAGCTTGATTTTTTTTAAAGTCAACAAGATTATCAATATCTCGGCCAAAAACATGTTTTGAAATAACTACCTAATGTCAGTGCAAAGACGTCTGAGATTTTGCTATAAAGAAGCTGAAAGGAAGACACAAACGAATTAAGGCAAGCAAAAGGTATCTAAGCAGACTGTAAGTTTCTGAATTAGATCGCCATCTTGGATTTCTTGTGCTATTTTACCAAATATGGAGTATTGGGAAAAGTCATTTATTGAAACTGATTTTAAAATTTAGCCTTTAAGAATGTTAAAATGAAAAGTTTATTTTGTATATCATACTATAAATTTTGCTTTCAGTGTGTTTACTCCATAAAATAACAAAGGTTTTGAAAAGTTTGAAAAAAAAACTAGTTTCAATTGATCAAATTTTCTGCTGAATTCGACTGATGTTTTTCCAGAACTGCCCAGGCTCTCCTAATTCATTCTATGTTTCTTGAATTTCGTGCAATGCTTATAGCAATTATACTATATAGAATCACATAAACTTCTAACGAAGTTTGATTTAGATTTTCTACTCTCAACATTCGAGCAATATGCCGGAAACCGTGTTTTCTGGCGGTAAGATTGCGTAGAAATATTTCTYTAGAGTTTCTTTTTTAAGTCATGGTCTTTCAATTTTTTCTTTGATAATTTTGTTTAGTGGTTGTAATTTGAAGGATATATTATCCGGAACCTCCCAGAGTTCGTGTGCATGTCCTTTGTAATTAGCTGTTGTGGTGCCAGCCGGTAGAGCCGTTCGCTTCMATAGTTGTTATTAAGCTGGTTTGTGCCAAAGTAACCCCAAAGTAGCCCCAAAATCTTGTGTTTAAACTYAAATTTTGGTTGAACTGAAGGTCTGTTTATATTTTAACCGACAGTCCTTGCGTGCAGACTGTTTGTTTAATTACTTGAGAGAGAATTGTTTGTTCTGAAAGCGTATAATTTTCCCCAAKATAACAAGGAAGCCATTACAGGGCTGTATCCTGGCTGACGTTTGCTTTACGCTGTGTTAATCGCAAAAGTCGTTCCAAGATATAAATTTTGAAACAAAACGGATCTGAGCTAAGTAAACAAGTAAGTACACTTTCTTGTTTCATWAGATACACAATTACAAAACTCCATTCTCTGTCATCGAACTTTGTGTGCACAGGGCTATTCCACTACGATAAGCTAGTTTAGCAAGAGAAGTATCTAAAATTGATGGCTTTTAAGTTGATAAAGCTCGTACAAAGAAGTGCATTACTATACTTAAACGGTAGTCTTTCACTGCTGGCTTCAGAACTAAGAAACTTTAGCGCAACCAGCCGTTTCGTCTTTGTAAACATGACAAAAAATTTCGTTTTGTTGTTGTGTGCACAAGTTGTTCTAATTTATAGTAAACAAARTTTAATTATTAGTTGTCATTGCTAATTTAATCGACATATACAGCAGTTTTACTACAGTTTGTAGAAACTAGAGTAGGTTAAAAAGTGCGCATTTTCCAAAAGGTATAAATCTATCTTATTATCTATATTTTGAAACTCAAAGCTATTTTTTCATCTCATTGAATCCAATCTTTACTTTGGAAAGTTATACAGAGCGCGGTTGTCGATGGCCTTGCGAAGAGACCCCGAAACTTTTCTTTAGYATTTGTTTTATTATTATCGATGTTTAGACTTTTTGAAATGATAAAATCGGCCTTTTTTCATTAGAGTGAAGAGTAAGATTTAAGATAAGATATATTATTTCCTGGCGATATTTCCTGTTTAACGTATACATATAATTAAAAAACGAAAGTTTTGGACGTGCATTTGCTAAAAATAATACATTTAATGTAAAAAACAGCTTTTATCAAACCAAGAACTAAATATTACAGAATCAGATTACATGTAATTTGGAGAGTAAACCGAAATTAAGATACCATTTAAAATAAAAAAACATGATGGATTGTTTTTAGCATAGTCTAATTTTTTCATTGAAATGTGTATTTGTTTTGCATTACGATGGGGGTCTTGCTCAATTTCTTAAAACATCTATAAAGGAGCGCTTTTCTGACAAGAAACGGAACCTATCRTTTCTACTTCACTGTTAGTACATATATTTTGTATAATAAAAACAATCATTTAAAATTGAAAACTTAATCATCATTTTAGAAATGTTTTTACTCTTTTTCAAAAATATCATGGATCGAGTGATATATATAAGAGTGAAATTTATTGTTCCAGCACTAAAAACTCATTAGATAGAGATCGCGCGATCCTTTTAATTATAGGTTCTAGATCTAATTAGAACCTCTACTAGTACTGCGACTGCGCGAGTTCTGAAAATTCATTACTGGYATGAATCGAACAAAATTAAGGTGAGTTTAAAATGCAAGAGTAATGATTTCTAGAATTACAAAGAAGCCAAAAATTCAAATAACAATACTTAATTCCCTTTCCTAGCTTAAACTATTATTTTTCAGGTTCAAATGAATTTTGGCGCCATTTTTATCTAATCGCAAACTTGCGATGAACTTGACGCCGCKAGCTTTGTCACGTTTGTAATCTTGTACTCTCAATTCAATTTTGCCTTTCAGCTAAGATTCTTTGAACAGAGACTACTTCAAGTCTGCGTCACTGGCACTTTCAAGAGCAAAAGTAAATTCAATTGTTTAATGTTATGATTTTAAGCTACTGTATTTTCCTTACGTATTCAGTTTGGGCAAAGTGCAGTACGTTTCTTCGTCTTCATCGTTCTTCACTTCACTACAGCAAAATTGATAAACCAAAAAACCTATCTGTCTTTCAGGGTTAATAASTTCAAAAAATAACACTTATATTCTACATAAAAGAAGAAAACGGCAACGATAAATGTTTGGATAGGTGTTTGCAGACAATGGAAAGAAGGRRACCTTCCTGGCAACAACTTTGTATCCTTTTGGTTGCTKCGGTTTCAGCTGCGACAGGTGAGAATTGCAGCTTGGACCTTTTTTAGACTTAAATCTTATAGAACAATATCAATCAAATATTTTACTCATAAAACAGACGGAACAATATTGTTATAAGAGTTTTTGACTAATTCTAATAAGAAAATAGAGCTTTCCATTCCTTGGAAATGAGTAACTTCGCATGAAGGATGTCGTCGTTGATGAATTTGACCAAGCCTACTAAGCCGATATCGAAATAATAATAATAATTGCTCATTTCCAACACAAAGCTCAAAACACAATTTAGATACTAATTTTAAGCATAGCTAGTAGTTGTAATGTTTGATTTTAGACTACAAAATACTACAACTTAAAGTAGAGATTTACCGGACCCCAGGTCAGCCATTGAGCAACAATTTCTTATTATTTTACTAGC